TGAAACATGTACACATGCAGCAGAAAAGACTGTTTCTTATATTCTGGGAATTAGAAGATGTATTATAAAGTCTAAATAGATTAAAGACTAAAAAATATTAAGTATGGATATGAGAGCTACCAAAGTATAAATCAATCAGAAAAGAATATTAGCTGTCTCTAGCAAAAAGGAGGTCAAAGTTAGCAACATTTTTTTAAAAAACCCCCAACAAATCTAACGTATATCCAAGGAGAACCCCATCAGGAGTTGGGGTGGGAAGCTTCTATGGTATATTCAGAATGAATATTAACTTGAGCCCCTTGCAAACATGTTCTCCACCTTTCAGGTATCCCACAACTAAAACTTCCTCTAGAAATAAACTTCCTTGATATACCATACACAGTGATATCATTCAGCCTTTATTTTGCGATATGCCTCAGGGATATTATAAGAAGCTTTATTCAATGCTTTCCTGAAGACTTTCACATCTTTTTCATAATTTTTATTTAAAAATTTTGTATGGGTGCCCATTGTAAAACACAAGCCTGGGTGGCCCACAGTAAAAACTCACAACTATAAAAACCATAAAACATAACCAAAACCTGGTACCTCAATCATTCCTTTGGGCTGCCGCAACCCAACATACCATCACTCTGCCCCCGTGTCAAGAGTAAAAAGCCATGTCTTGCTGGCCTTTCACAAGCACAATTTAGAGATTAGGGTTAATTCAGAGATTCTCAAATTCTGTGATTCCTTGACTTCCCAAAATGATTGTATGACCCCCTTCCCTAACAAAACTTATAACACCAGCAATTAGTTTCATATCAAAGGGATTCCTTAACCCAGGGGTGAGCAACCTGTGGATTTAAACTCCCAGAATTCCTGATCCAAATCCACAGATCCTAAAAGGGCCACAGTGGCCCAGCCTTGCCTTAACCTATTCCTGACCCCTTGATAGTCAAATCCTGTCAAAACTGATCTCACTAATGTCTTAATCCAAGCAAAACAAACTAAGTTAGGAGAGGGTCCTATTTGTACTTACAAACTTTAATTCTTTTTTAAGACTACTATGGCCAGGTTCTTTTAGAGACTCTGCGCTGGTGATTTTGTATGGCAGAACAACCCGATGTGGGGAGTGGTACATAGAGGGTCACATTTCTTATTTTTATTGCACTAGTTTGAGAATCCACACAAAATTAGAGGCAATGGGTAATTAAGGCATGCTAAAGACCAAATAAAGTGTAGATTAGATTTCCTGATTAAAGCAGCGAACTTCCAGTATACAAAAAGGAAGGGAAATAAAGAAGAGTTATTGACTGCACAATGGTTCTTAGTGGTCAACACATCCTTTTCTAGATGGTCACAGAACAGACACTTAATCTATCCTACACTTTTGCTCTGTATTATTTTTAATATGATTGGTTTATAGTCTTCTGAGTTTTCTTTTTTCTCTTCAACAAAGTGGTCATCCATTGGATTCACCCATTCTTCAAAAATTCTCAAAGGTTATACCAACAGCTCTAAAGTAACATCTGTAAACGTTTGGGATGTTTTATCTCTAGAGAGTTTTACTTGAAGGTGCATTTTTTCCCAACCATGTTGGGCAGCTTCAATCTCTTTCCAAGACAACCTACAATTCCCAAGAAGAGCAGAACCAGAGCAGAATAGTACCTCTAATCCACAACTCTCTCAAATGCTAAAAAAGGATACTATCCTGTTTCCCCGAAAATAAGACCCTAGTATGATTTTTCAGGATGCTCGTAATATAAGCCCCACCCCAAAAATAAGCCCCCGTTAAGACCGTCAGTCAAATGGGTGCATTTAGTACCATATTTCCCAAAAACATAAGCCCTAACCAGAAAATAAGCCCTCTTGGAGCAAAAATTAATATAAGACCCGGTCTTACTTTGAGGGAAACACGAGTATGGTCAATGATATCAAGTCATTGAATAGACTGAGAGTATTACCACAACCATATGACTCTCTTGGTAAAAGATGATTTGTTAGGGCATTCAAAGGCAACTCCGTATCACATATGGGTCATAATACTTTTAAGGCGAAAGATTTATACTATCTGAAGAGAAACCAGAGTATGGGTCATAATACTCAGTTTCCTCTAAAAGGCCCTCTGGAATTACAGTATCCTTATCCCCCTTCTCTAAATACAAAATAAGGGATACAAATATATGATTATTAAAATTAGTTTATTAATCAAGCTGATAGGGAATTGTTGCTTCTCGTGTCTCATTACTAAGTACCATCCCCAAAATGACAACTTTTATTAATTTTCTATGTCAATGGCTTCAAGTTATGAAATTCCTTTCCCTAAAAATCTGCTAAGCCTTTATTTTTTTACTCCTTCACAGCTGATTGTTAGGTTGTACATAAACATCTAGGTGAAGAGAAGGGAAGCTCCCCACCCCTATTCCATCAGTGAAAATGGCTACTGCTGATGGAACCAAACCATGGGATATTACCATTCATGCTTTACATTTACTTCCAAAGAGTAGTGGGCAGGACACTTGTGTACAAGTGATAATTGAAAGAAAAACACTGACCCACGAGATATGGCACAATTAGGAAACTGAGGAAGAAATATGAGTAATTCTCAGATGCTTATTGCTTTAAATTAGAGATATGCAAAATTCAGCGGTTCCGGAACCAAATATTCCAGAGTACTTCTGAGAATTATGAACTCTATTCAGACAATGCTAAATCTCTTCTGTGCACAGTTTCAGCACCATTTCAGGAAGTAAATTCCTTGAACTAGAAGTTATGAGATATGGTGGCATGACTCTATCTGGATTGCAAAAATGTGCATATTTTTATGCTGAATTATACATCAACTAGAGCTGATCAAAAACAAAGGCAGGACAAAAATTATAAAGTAAAAAAATGTACTTGGCTCAAAATAAAAGTATTTTCTAGAAATATTTGGCTCTTTAGCATTTTAAGAAAACTTTTTTTTTAAAAAAAACTGCGCATTAAGCTACAGTAATACTGCATATATGTGAATACAGGACAGCAGGTAGAAACAAAATTTGCAAACTAGCATATTGCTGTAGTAATGAGATTTTGGTCAGGCACATTCACTATAAACTATTAAACCTTATTATCACAGATAGTTAAGCAAAGCAATACGAAAACTCTGATATTAACTCGGGAAGTAAAATCTATCTATAAAATAAAACTGGCTACTCTATCTGATATTAGTCATCGAGAGTCAGGTAGTATACAAGCTTGATACATTATTATATTGACAAGAACCTTTACTTTTTAATCTTTAAAAATGTATAGAACAATCCTAAATACAATGTCCACAGTCACACAATTAGTGTTATATAAAAATAGTTTACACAAATTAGATGCAACTCTGAAATATTAAATATGTACTAAAGTTCATTAAAAATCATTAAGTGCATATAATTAAAAATGCATTCCATGTTGTGAGTATGAGTAAACAGTTTTGTTATTTGCTTTCCTGGAGAAGCATAATTATCAATGTCTCCTTGGACAAATTTAATTCAAGCATCCTAGTTAAACACTGAATTGTATAGAATATTTCCCTTGTCACTGAAGAAGCAAAACAAAGAAAGATCAATAAACACAAAACTGGTAAAAACATTATATGGGTAAACAAAGCTTTATACTTATCTATGCAATCTATTCTGACCCTGTGAAGCAAGGAAAGCTTGCTTTATAAAAATTGGAAAAATTAGCTTAATGTATTTGGAGGGAGGGCAATATGATACCCTTCAAATGTACGTTTTGTAATTCCCTTACTCCCCAATCAGTAAAATCCTACTTGTGATTTACAAGTTTTGATCTAATCTAAATTAAGGACGTTAGGCTGGAAAAGACTGATTTAGGTATTCAGCAGACCCCAAATATATCTATTGTACCTATCATTGTATCTATATATTAAAACATAGAACTATTAAAAATCCTTGACACCAGTTTTACACAACCTCAATAAAGTGTATTTTGGCAACTGACATAATGTCCCTTGAACTAAAATATTGTATTTTCAACTTATCTAGTTATGTTAATTTAGAAACAGAAACAAAAATTACCCACAGAACAAATTCAGTCCATGTAATCTCACCTAATAACATTTTGCTTGAACACAGTATTTACTCAGAAGTTTAAGTTCAATGGAACTGACTTAAGACACACTTAAAGTTAAGTGTAGCAGTGTGTCAAATAATGATTTGTATAATTTGCACTCTATTAATACTTATTGGAAATAAACTATAATCAATATTATACTTTAGCTTATATAAGCATATAATATGGGTTCTATCAAGAGCAGAAAATGAGCTCTAACAATTATCAATTTAGCAAAACCACAGAACAGAAAAAGGCCACACAAGCAACAGTTTTCAGTGATCTTATCCAGATTTACAGCAGAAAGCCATTAAATTAAAAACAGCAGCCAACATCCAAGACGAAGATGCCCATTGTGAGCCACAGAAGCAGGCTTAACACATTACATTTAAACCATACTTTTTTTTTTCTTAACGTTCAGGAATGTTGTCTTTTTAAGGACGCCTCTGCCTTCCCTCCAGATGACTCTTACAATTCACCTGGACCATCTGTGGATAGCAGAGCCCTCGTCCCTTTTCCATACCGACGTACAGAAATTCTCCTACGCCAATATTTACACACGCCACCTTTCCCCAAGTACAACAGGATGAGCTCCCCCACCCCTTTCCTCGGCTTCCTTTGCAGATCTGGCATTGTTGCATTTCGGGCATCCGCCGCCCCGTTTTTCGAAAAGTCCCTTCCGAGTCTCTCTTTCTCCGCGTCTGTTGTTCGTCTGCATGCAGTCGCCACCTTTCCGTTGCCGCGCTCCCCCTTTCCCCCCTTCACCGCTTCGGCCGCCCCCAACCAGCCCCTCGCCCCGTGCCGGACCAGCGGAGCGACGCCCCTCTCCCCCTCAAAGGGCCGATACCCCCCCAACACACCCACCACCCAGGGCCACTCCCCCCCCCCGACTCCCTTACTGCCCCCCCCTCTACCTGGGGTACTGCTGTAGGTGCTGTGGCTCCTGAAGCTGCTCTCAGTGCAATAGCTGGCATCATCCTCGTCCTCCATCTCTTCGGGGTAATCGGAATCGTCGTCGTCGTCGTCCTCCATGACCGCCTCCTCTTCCTGGGAGTCTGGCTTCTCCTCCGCCTCGCCGTCCTCCTCGTCCTCGTCGGACCCCACGCTCTCCTCTTCCTCCTCCTCGTCACTCTCATGATCGTCGTACACTACTTTGCCGCCGCCGCTCCTCCTGGACGAGGCGGCCGCCCTGCCTTGGCTGCTGCTGCTGCTCCGGCTGCCTCCGCCTCCTCCTCCCCCCGCCGCCGCCGCCGCCGCTCCAGCCCTACCCCGGCCCCTACCGCTACTGCCTCCCCCACCAGGGGTGCTGCTGCTGCCGCCGCCTCCCTTCCTCCTGCCGCCCCCCCTGGAGGAGGAGGAGGAGGAGACGGCGGCGGTGGAGGCCTGGCCAGCTCCGGACCCCCTCGACCTGGGCCCGGCAGCCCCAGCCGCCTGGCCCGAAGCCGCCCACCTGCCCCGGCTGCTGCCCCGCAGTCTGGACCTCAGACCCCCAATGGGGCCCGGCGGGGCGGGCGGAGCCGGGGTGCTCGCCCGAGCGGGGGCCGCCGCAGGCTGCTGATGTTTGGGCGGCCTGCCTCGCCGGCCCCGCATCGCTGGGCGCTAGCCGAGGGGGGGAAGAAGCGAGGGGGCGAGGGCACTCGGGTCCGGCGGGAGGCTGCGGGGAGCCTCCTCCCGGCGGTCGGAGCTCTGGGGCAGGGAGGGGGCGCCACCGACTTGCGAGGGCCGAAGGCTCAATTCGAATCGCCGGCGTCCCGCTCCGGATCGCCACCGGCCGCCATCTTGTTTCTTCGTCTCTGCCTCGGATCGCTCCGCTCTGACTGGGGGAAGCGGCGGCGGCGGCAGGCCCAGTGCGCCTCACGTGACCAGCCTTCTAGGCCGGCCAGCGCCGCCGGGGGGCGCCGGAGAGCTACCTACGGCGGCGGCGGCGGCTGCCTTCGCTCCGGCTCCCAGCCATCTTCGATGCGGACCGAGCGCCGGGTGCAGCCGCGCTTCCATCCTCTCGGAAAGCATCTCGCCTCGCACATCACCCCAGACACCTGTTAGCCCCCCGTAAGGGAGATGCCCTTTCTTTCCCCCGCCCGTACGTCGGCTTACGCCCTCAGCAGGCACCATCGCTTCTGATAACGGTTTTTCAAGCCTCGGTTGCTCCGTATTTACTTCCTGAAATTGCTTCAGATTCAGAGCCGTTGCCGTTTACAGCTTGCCGTCCGAAGTTGTAGGGGCTTCATCAATGGAGGTTTTTAAGGAGAGACTGGACAGCCACTTGTCTGAAATGGCATAGAGTGTCTCCTGCTTGAGCAGGGAGTTGGACTAGAAGACCTCCAAGGTCCCTTCCGGTTATATTCAGATTGATTGGTTTCTTCACGCAAGGTTATATATGTGCATGCGAAGGAAGGTTTGTAGGAGGTATGCAAAAGTGTCAGGCTGGTTTCAAAAGAGGTGGCATGGAAATGCAATGACAAAATTATGCTTTCCTTAGCCCATTACTTTTGTCATGAGGGGGGAGAAGGAGGAAGAAGAGGGAAAAAGACGGGAAGAAAGAAGGAAGTACAAGAAGAAAGGGAGGAGATGAAGTAGAAAAGTTCAAACCTCAAACAAAGTGATAATGCATCTAATTGAAATGCTTTACATATTCCAGACTTAGAAGATCGACCTTAATCCTGGCAGCTACTTCCTGTACTTAGCTACTTGTTGGACCCATCCTTGACCTACTTCAGTGGTGGCGAACCTATGGCACGGGTTCCAGAGGCGGCACTCAGAGCCCTTTTTGTGGGCACACGTGCTGTCAACCCAGTCCTGGGCCTTCAGCTGGGTTTTATAAAACCTTTTTGCTTTAGGCCTCCAGGTTCAATCAGTCAATTTCAACTTCTCGCGGGGGAAAAAAAAGATCTTGCAAAGTTGGAATTGATTGAACTTTTTAGTCCCACCCAGTCTGCCATTACCACCGCAGCCACGCCCACCCAATGGGCCACACCCACCCGGCACTCGACGATGCATAAGTGGGTTTGGGGTTGCAGTTTGGGCACTCGGTCTCTAAAAGGTTCGCCATCACTGACCTACTTGTTTTTCTATACCTGCACACTGGATAGAACCATTTTTTGAGAATTTAAAAAATTAAAGATTTTACAAAGAAAATAAAAACTGACACAAAATTAATAAAAAATAAAAAAGCAAAGGAAGAAAGAAAAGTGCAGAAAAACAGAACCAAAACAGAAAGCTTTTCATTTCTCCTTCAATAAATACAAGCACAATTACAATATTGTCTCTTATTCTATGATTATAAAAAAGCTTCCTTTTTTCTATTATAATTTTTTTTCTAATCATCCAAACCACATCGTGAATTCATGCTTTCTGTTTCATACGAAAAGTCTTTTAAGGTGTTCCAGAATATATATTCTAATCAAAGATGTTAATTTAGCCATCTCTGCCAGTTCCATCATCTTCACCAGCCATTTCTCAGTTACGGGTAATGTTAAACCTTTCCACTTTTGAGCATATAATAGTCTCGCTGTGGTTATCATATATTAAAACAAAGTTCTGTGACTTTTTCTTGTTTTCTATCCATTAATCCCAAAAGAAAAGTCTCTGATTTCAACTATACTTTAATCTTTAAAATTTCCTGTATGTATGGGTGTATGTATATCCAACATATTTTAGCTTTTTTTGCATGCCTAACAATCATGGTAAAATGCTCCTTCATATTCATCCTTTCAGCAAAGATTCAAAGTACCTTTATATATTCTAGGTAATTTCTTTCGTGACAAATACCAATGATACATCATGTTATAAAATTATTTTTAACGCTAGAACATAAAGTGTTCTAAAAAGCAATATATTGTTTGCCTAGAAGCAAATCAATTAGGAAAAAAGATGTGAAACATTTGATTTATAAAACTTGGATGAGATACTCAGGAGATATTAGGAAGAGAAATGGAGTTCCTTTGTATATTAATCCTCAAGTAACCCAGAACTTGTTTTAATTGATGAAAATGGTGGAGCAGAAGTTACACTATATAAAGTTAAATCTATGATTTGGAAGGTTATATCCCAAATAAAGATAAAATAACTTTTTATAAACAACTTATGAAGATGGATTTTTTTTCAAAGTACTGTCAGGTCCACTCTCTGGACTGGATTTTTTCCTATGATAACTGGTATATGATGCAAAATTGGAATAGTTTCCCCTCAAGACTTCTGTGAAAAATATTAAAATTAAATATTTCAATTAAAATTAAAGTTTAGTAATTTACTAATTTATGGATAGTTTAGTTGTTTGATATATGGAGTCAGAAGAATAGTAATTCAAGAGAATATACCTATTTTTCAGAAAAAACAGGTCCATTTCAAGAAAAGTGTGATTTGAATTTCAAAAAAAACTGACTACTAAAAATTCAAAAGTTTGAGTGGTCAACATTAAAGTTTTGACCAGTTAAAACTGAAAAATATTACATTTGATTTTGTAGAACATTGTCACATTATAAAGGCAAAGCTATTTACAGAACCGTTTTTGCTTCATCAATTGAAGAACTAAGATTTCCAGTAATTTTTGAATGTTTAAAAAAAGAATCTAGAATCTTTTTTTCTTCATTTCTTCTTGGGAAATGTGCAAGAGTCTTACGTAATTTATTTATACATATATCCCATCTAAATTGTTTTTATAAACTTCAAGGCAGCAAACGTACCTAATACGCCTTCTTCCTCCTATTTTTCCAACAAGAACCCTGTGAGATGAGTTGGGCTGAGAACGATGGGTCCAAAGTCACTCGGGTGGCTTTTGCATCTAACGTTGGACTGGAACACTGTCTTCTGGTTTCTAGGTGGTGCCTTAATGATTAGACAAAACTGGCTCTCAAGTTTTAATTCAAGCAATCCTACTACTTCAGCCATTATCAACTTAATGTTGATACCAATCATTTTCCAAATTGAGATAGCATTTCATTTTGACAAGAGAAGAGTAGAATGTTCATACCATGGGATTTTTCTTACTCCTTGTTACTTACTAGAGACCCTAATACAGTACTGGAGAAAGAGCTCTTACATCAGACATATCAAACACAAGGCCCAGGGGCCCGCAAAGTGGTTTCATGTGGCCCGCGAAGCCATCCTGGAAACAGTGAGGGAACGGCCCCTGCTGCCTTGGCCCTAGCCCAGGCCAGCCAGGAACCAATGTACAATTTTGTGGTGGCCATCTTGGCACTTGCCCCGGTCCCACTCCTTTCTGCCAGAGACCCTCAGATCTGTCCCACTCCTGCCCAGGCCCCCACAGGCACCCTTGACGCGAATGATGTAGAACCGCCCACGCCCACCCAGTAGGCCACACCCACCCAGTAGGCTGCACCCACTCTGGCCACACCCACCCGGCCCCCCAAGGGCAACTGCAATGCTGATGCGGCCCTCAGTGAAATTGAGTTTGACACCCCTGTCTTACATAGATAAAATACCACTCCGTGCCAGTCCCAACTGCAAACTTATGTAATTATTTATGAACCTTCTTAACTGGAAGATGACACTTGCAATGCGAAGTAAGGCCTCTGGAACAGCACTTGTTATTCTAATAATCACTGGAAGTCAGGCAGCATGTAAATTTAATAATAATAGGAGATAAATGATTCTGGGTAAATTTCAGATTCTTAAATAGCAGAAATTTGTTCAGGTTTTATCAGATAGAAAAACTGAGGGAGCTATGAGAGTCATCTAGTTTCCACTGAAATTGAGTCATTCTGTTGTTCTGGATTGGATTTGGACAAATTGTAGTTTTGATGAGATTTGTGAATATGATTGCCCATCTTTATACCAATCAGTTTATTGAATGAATGGCTAAATCTGTTCATCTACTGGGAAAAGCCATTATAAATATCTTTTGAACTATTTGTCACACTTTTCTCTGAAACTTAGGGGAGGCTGTGCCACCCAAACCAGTCGAATAGAGTGCCCACTAATAGACAGACTGTTTTGATCTTGGCAATACATTATTCCCCTTTAGACTTCCCCAACTATCAGTTGG